AATTGGACCTTTTTTTAACTTGAAATACAAAAAAGATACAAAAAGAAACAAAGAAAATTGCAACAATAACACTGCTACTCTGAGGCTGGAGGTTTGTGTATTGGAAATGAAATACTTTTACTTTTCTTATTGATTATCCTGGCTTGGCACTCCAAGGTCTCACTGCTTGTTTATAGAGAGTGATAAGAAGAAAAGCATACAGATGTCCCTTTGAAGTATATCTTCAACCATAGAAAAATGAAAATAAACTTTATTGCTAGTAGCCCTTAATGTAAGTAATGCAGACCATGGTCTGTGTAGGAAGCCAAAGTTCTGTTGACGACGCCAGTTTTTAATCCATTGGTTCATTTCTGAAATCCTTTGCTCTCTCATTGGATGTTGTCCTTTTGTCAGAAGTATAGATGAAAACACCACATGTTCTCCTACTTCTTTAACTTTCTTCCCTAGCTGTATGTAATCTCTTGTTGTTGTTTTCAGATTCATTGTTGTGTCATTGGTCCCCATGTGTAGAAGAAGAAAGGGGTAGTAATCCATGGGGTTGATTATTTTAGTAAGGTTCTCTGTTACATTTTTAAGTTTTGCTCCAGGGACACAACATACCTCCCTCGATTGACTGCCTGGTCTGCAGACTATAGTTCTCTTACCCAAACAATCGAGCCTCCTATCACCAATATTCACTTTTTCCCTCTAGGGAAGTCTGGGATACTGTTGCAGGAATGCCAAGTTGTGTCTCTACTAGTTGATAACCCGGGTATTTATTTATCCCAACCCTCCTTCTATGAACGTTGTCGCAATTTCTAGTGTTGGATTTTCCCCCTCACCAGAGGGAGCCCCCTTGTGGAGTACTATGAAGCCATTACCATGGCAACTCCACAGCACTGTACAGTACAGTGCTGTACACTGTACAGTAGAAGTCATTTTAAGGCACAACACCCCAATCCCTGCCCAAGGGGTGTAAGGGGTATCTTACCCCCACAGTATTTGTTTCCAGAGAGTAAGTAATCTGTGTACCAAATTTGGTTGATATTTCTCGAGGTGTTCCAGAGTTATGGAACACACATAGACACAAATAGCCATCTTTATATATATATAGAATATGTATGGAAGACTGAAGGCTGAGTCAACCTTAAGCCTGGTGAGACTCAAACTGCTGAATTGCAGGCAGTTGGCAGTCAGCAGAGGTAGCCTGCAGTACTGCACTCTGACCACTGAGCAACGGAGGCTCGTAGACACAGAGAACTGGAACAGACAGCAGGGACTGCATAACATGGTATACGTTTTTTAGGTGCTTGCTCAACATTTCCAGAAATTCCAGATGCGTGGGAATTCCAGTCTCTTCCCATTCAAAACATTCAGAAAAATGGTGGGGTGGCTTCCTTTTTTAAGGGAGGGGGTTCTGGGATCAGGTGGGGCTCCTGTCATTGTGGTCTGTCTCTTTCCTGCAGGGCGACATCCAACAACTGCTCATCGTCTCGGACCATCAAGCCGCCTATGACTACTGTGAACACTACAGCCCAGATTGTGACACAGCCGTGCCGGATGTGCCTCACTCTCAGGACCCAAACCCTGATGAATACGTGAGTGGGGAAGGGGCTGGGAGCCTGAGGGGCAGCCAGCGGGATCTCTCCCTGCCATCCTAGCTCTAGCCCTCCCTTTGAAAGCCTACACAACAGGTTTTTTTAACTACAGGTTCTGTGGGCGTGGCTTGGTGGGCATGGTGGTTCGGAACCTGACACGTAGCAGGGGAAGGATACTGCAAAATCTCTCTTCCCTCCCCTCTCTGGGGCCAGCCAGAGGTGGTATTTGCCGGTTCCCCGAACTACTCAAAATTTCCGCTATCGGTTCTCCAGAACCTGTCAGAACCTGCTGGATTTCACTCCTGCTATACAGTAATCCTTATCCTAACCCAAACTCTAACCTTGCAATGTTCATGTCAAGTATGTATTTTTAAGCAAGGATGGGAGTGCCTGTAGTGTAAAGCAAGACAGGGACTCATCTTCCTCACCCAGCAATTCCCCTAGTTCCTCGGGTGGTTTTGCTCTCAGTGCTAATTCTGAGCGACTCCATCGCACCACCAACTCCACAGTAGAAGTTCCTTGCTTTCTAACAAACAGCGACCACAATGGTCATTATTGCTGCTGCTGTTTTTGTGAGTCTGGCCCTGTCCTGTGTAGCTTTCCCTTGGACTTCCAAAAAATCAACCCGGAGCCCTCCTAGCTCCAAAGTCTACCAACTGGGTGAGCCTCTTTGCCCACATTTGCACTTGGAGCAGAAGAAAAGAGAAGTATGAACAGTGGGTCACCTTTCCATGATTGTTTTCATCTGCATTCAAAACCAGAGAGTCCTGACTGAGGTGCTGAGATGGGTCTTGGAGATGGTTTGAGGGGAGAAAACCCCATAAGAGGAAATCTTTCCCAGAAAAGGGCTAGATGGGCATCCACTGTGAGCAGTGACGACTTCGGATTCAGGGGGATTCCATGAATAGCTAGTATAATAAAAATTACTGTGTTTTTCAGAGTATAAGACGTACCTTCCCCCCCCCTAAAAGAGCGAGGAAATGTTGGTGCTTCTTATACACTGAATATAGCCATTTTTGACCTCCCAAAGCCCCACCCCTGCATCCCATTTTTTGCAAAAAATGGGCTATTTTTCGCAAAAACAGAGGCATTTTTGCCTTCCCCCAGCCCTGCCAAAGCCTGCAGAGTGCTCCTGGGGGGCTGGGGAGGACATAAACCTTTTTATCTTACTTACCTCTTCGAAATCTTTGTGTGTCTTATACACCTGTGTGACATATAGTCCAAAAAATATGGTACATTTTTGAGAAAGTTACATTTAAGAGAAGAACCAGGGGAGACATGATAGCAGTGCTCCAATATTTGAGGGGCTGCCACAGAGGGGAGTTGGGGGCCAAGCTGTTTTCCAAAGCACCCAAAGGCCAGAGAAGGAAGAATCGATGGAAACTGACCAAGAAGAGATTCAACCTGGAAATAAAGAGGAATTTCCTGACAAGGAGAACAATCATCCCATGAAACAGAGGTTGCCTTCAGATGTTGTGGGAGCTTCATCACTTGGAGGCTTTCAAGAAGAGACTGGACTGCCATCGGACAGAAATTGTGTAGGATCTCCTGCTCAGGCGGGGGTTGGACTAGATGACCTACAAGGACCCTTCCAACTCTGTTCATCTGAAATATGCTTATTATTGGAGTTGGGCTCAAGCCAGAAGCACTCGCTTGTCTCCTGTGGGTGTAGCCGGTTCCCCTTTAACCATAGCCAAGCCAGTGGCCTCACTTCTCTAGGTCCTGTGAGGGAATTCCACAGTTTCATGGCCTCCTGTCACCATTTCAATCACTTTCCTTTCTTCACAGTACCCAGATGGGAATGAGAACCTGGAAGTTGAAGGAGAAACTTACTATTACGAATACCCCTACTATGAGGACCTCGACGAGGCAGGCAAAGCCACCCCGACCACTGCCCAACCTGTGGAAACCGATGAAGTAGCCCGGGAAGTGATTGACACCACCGAGGTAAAGGACGGCAAGAGGGTGGGGGGGTCGACCAGGGGTCTCTGTGGGTCCGGTGGGAGGGAAGGTGCAATGGAGCCTCTAACACAGGAGTTCCCAACCAGGGGTGCTTGCACCCCCTAGAGGTGTGAGACGATATTCCAGGAGATGCAAAACCTTGGGTTTAGAAGTTTCAAAATTATAGTGTATATGTATAATTATATGCATATAATGATTTATTTTTTAAAGGGGTGTGAAAATATATCAGAAATATATATCGGAAGGGCACGGGGTATAGAAAACTAAAGATGGAATTATATATATAAAAAGAAGAAAAGGTTGGGAACCCTCCGGTTCTAACAAATTCCAGGACCATGGAGAAGCCCTCTTGGCTTCTGGGTGCTTGCTAAGAAAGGATTTTTTTGAAATGACCATCAGATCATTAGTAATTCTTATAATTAACACGCTCTGATGCTAAGTAGTTCTACTCCCCCTCCCCACCTGAAAAGAACTCTGTTCCAACTGCCAGTTGCCTCACATTCCATTAC